TGTGGAGACAAGATCTCTTGCGCCTACCTCGACGGCGAAGATTTTTACTGCGTACGCTTCGTCTCTCCTCAGACCGGCGGCGAGATCACAGTACTTCTCGAGCTTGTACATGTGATTTTCGTCCTTTCTCATACGTCACGGTCAGCTCATTCAGGATGAGCTGGCGTTTCTCGCCAGAGTGTAGGACTATGTCGGGTCTCAGGCCGGTTTTGGGGATTAACTCTGGGTACCTCTCGAAACCAGGCATGTCGACAACCAGCAACCAGTCCCTCGCACAGTCAAGTATTGATGGAACGTATGCTACAAGGTTAATTTTACCTTTTCAAATCTGCCCAGCCTTGAGCAAACGCATGGGAGTAACGGTAGGACTGGCCCTCGCGTTGGCCCTTATCCTGGCTCGGCCCTCTCTACACCATCATACAGGGTTATTCAAGAAGCGGCCCGCGGGCCCAATCCAGACCACAAAAGCCTAGCAGTTGGATTGTTTTATTGGTCATTTTAAGAAAGGCTGCGGTCTCTGGCCTGTGACGATCCTTATTTTCAATATTTTTTCACTGAGCAAAATTAGTTGACTAGCCCTGCCACAGTACAACACTTTTGTCTGGAAAGACGGAAAGGTGCCAGCAACATAGACCTCATTAGTTACCATCATAATCATTGAAAATCATTCAATGAGAGTGGATTTCGTCAATTATGACCAACAAATCATTTTACTAGTTTAACTACTCAATTATAATTATTTTTTTTTAATTTTCGACTTGACGGGGATTTGAACACGTTACCGCCTAGCCTGCAGACAAGCGAGCTGGCAGATGGGATTCTAGAGCTTGGCTTTGTTCCATAAAATTTACAACTGATCGGCCAGCTTACATGTTAGTAAATGCATACATTTAAATAATATATTTATTGTCTACATTACTTTATGTTGCACTGTCTTCTTTCTTTTTAGTTGTATTTTGTCGACGACGTAACATAAACTCTCTATTCATGCATGTACGTCCATACGTACATCCGTCCATACGTCCGTATGTATGTATGTAAATATTACGTACGCATGTATGCATCCATGTCGGTCCATCTGCCCATCCGTCTGTCCCTCTGCCCGTCCATAATAACAACTGATGAATATTAAATAAGGTTGAATTAAAAAAAGGCGAATAAATAAGAGAAATATCTAGGCAACTATGGTTAGTGGTAAGACGAAGATGATGGTCGTATTCTGGGCACTTCCGTTGGAGAAGGTCAAGACAGTGAACAAATCGACACTTAATTGGGAAACAGATGGACTGAGAAAACAAAGGCCTGGAAAACAAACCCCAAACACGAACGTTGATGAGAAATGATAGAGATGCTGGACTGGATCCACCCATGATTTTGAAACAGTTGCACATGATAAAATAGAGATGCTGGTCTGGATCCACCCATGATATTGAAACAGTTGCACATGATAAAATAGAGATGCTGGACTGGATCCACCCATGATTTTGAAACAGTTGCACATGATAAAATAGAGATGCTGGTCTGGATCCACCCATGATATTGAAACAGTTGCAGAGGATAAAATAGAGATGCTGGACTGGATCCACCCATGATATTGAAACAGTTGCACATGATAAAATAGAGATGCTGGAATGGATCCACCCATGACATTGAAACAGTTGCACATGATAAAATATAGATGCTGGAATGGATCCACCCATGACATTGAAACAGTTGCACATGATAAAATAGAGATGCTGGAATGGATCCACCCATGACATTGAAATAGTTGCACATGATAAAATAGAGATGCATGACTGGATCCACCCATGATATTGAAACAGTTGCACATGATAAAATAGAGATGCCTGACTGGATCCACCCATGATATTGAAACTGCCAGCAGAAAGGCAATCAACGATGTGATAGATGATGTAATGTAGTATTATGGTGTTATGATGAAAACATTTGCTCAAGACAGTGGTATGGCGGATTTTCATCAGTGGAACAGGTTCAGAACACCAGACCAAGATCTGTGGAGATGAATGAACCTTACGCTATTTAGCAAGGCACATGAGGATGATGATGATGAGGAGGAAAACTCCACACACAAATTAAAGTTGAATGAAGATGTCTTGAAAGTAATTAAACTCACAAAGTGAGCTGAAAGGGAAAACAATCCCCTTCTCTTGCAGCTAGTCATGGGAAATAAAAACTAAGAGTACGCTGTGACAACAGGAAAGTTGAAAGGGAAAGAGCGTCAGATGAAGAATGCAAGAAAACACAGTTTAGCATCATGACATCAAAGAGCATCTGTATTAGACCAGGTTCAAAGTACATGACATAGAAGGCTGTGAAAAAACAGTTGCCAGCGTTACTTGGCTCGGACTACAACAGAAAGCTGTGCTTACAGAACCAGGAGTTCGATGTTTTACTAGTGCTCGTAAAAAAAATAATTGACTTTCTTCCTTAAAAGTCAGGTAAAAATTAGTGTGGTCATCCATCTCCTGCAATATATTACATTTTCCGCAATAGAAACAGTCGTAACAACGCACTGTGTTTTAGCTTGCAAGTCAGGAATCTCTTGTGAACAGTAGCACAGCATGCCAGCCACCAGTTTAAGATCGAACGTAGAAGAAGAGAAAGAAGTCTCCCGCCCCTTCTGAAGGTGAAGGAAAAAAAAACAAGAAGACGTATACAGCTACATCGAAACACCCGATGAGCACAGACTGGGGTGAAAAACAAAAGCTAAAGCAAACGTAGATGTTAACAAAACATAATGTTGCCAAGAAAATAGTCGTTTGGCACAGATAAAGAAACAAGTCCAAAAATAACCGCCCGTGTCTCGGAATTTTTAGCGCTATAACTTTCCCGAACAAGTTTTAAAATAAAGAGAAACTAGTCAGGTGATGGCTTAGACCTGCGAAAGCGCTTCGTAATGCCGGGGTGCAGGGTTCGATCCCAGCTGCAGGCGATTTTCGGCCCTTCGTTAGTTCCCACAGTGGTATTGACAGTCGACCGTTTAGCTAGACATGACGAACTACTGAACGTAAAATTTGCCTAGACAAACCACCTCAAGCCCCCCCCCCCCCCCTCAATGCTTGTGTTGGTTTTCAATGGTGTAGACTTGTAGTATGGAGAAAAGAGGGGGAGTGAGACAGGAGCTGGTATATGAAATAAAAAAGATAGCTAATACGAACGTACTCAACGGTTATAATGATAACGTAAATGATGATGATGATAAAGATGATACTGATTGTTGTGCCGGTGGTGGCTGTGGTGGTGGTGCTGATGGTGGTGGTGGTGATGCAGTGGATAACGACGAAGATAACGTCGAAAATGATAATGATGAGGATGATATCAATGACTATAAGATAATGACATCGATGATTATTACAGTGATGATTACAACGTCGTTTGCTAAAATAATGATGATGGTGATATAAACGATAATGATGTTGACAGAGACGACGGAAACTGCGACGAAGATGAGGAAACTGCCTGCCTTGAGAGACTCGGCACAACTATCAATATTTTAGCCTCTTCGGCAGAAGAAACTGCCTGCTTTGAGAGATTCGGCACAGCTCTGAATATTTTAGCCTTTTCGGCAGTCCTAGAAATAAATGAAAATAATCTGCGGTGATTGTCGCATCAGCTGCAACAGTTCTGCATTCCCTGATGCTCAGCATTTACTGTTTGATCGGGAGGCAGCTGGCACACATTAATCAGATTCCTCCAAACTTCGTACTCCGATGACGTCTGCCTGGTACCAAGAAATGTTACCTGGTATCTGTACCTGCTCTGTTCTTACCTGGGTTTACCTAGCGTGCGTTCTCTGTCAGGCTCCGACTGACACTCCAGATGCCAGAGGACGTAGGCCTCGTTTTACCTGGGGTGATTCAAAGGCGTAGGGTCGAATGACAGAACTGGGTGTGGGTCACCGGTTTTTAATAGACTTGACGTTAAACGTTGGTTGCGTATCCTTTACAGGACGTTGCAGAACCAACCCCAGCATTTTTTTTTACTGTTGTAGTTTTTCTAGGCAAATTTACGTTCAGTAGTTTGCCATTGCTATCTAGACGGTCGGTTTCTCGATACCACATACGAAACCAACACAAGGCGCAAGGCCCGCAACTGGGATCTAACCCAGCATCCCGGCATTACGAAGCGTGTTGTCAACGCCTAAGCCACAGACGCCGACTGAGACTTGACAGTTGTGACAAATAAAGGCGGCTGGTTTGATGATCATATTACACATAAAGGTCCAACTCATCATGATCATTTTGATGATGTCCTTCGCAGAACGTCGCTCTCATCACAGTCTGCCTGAAAGAAACTAGTCTCTCGCCAGCTCTTCCGCATCGTGTACTTTTATATTCAGGGGGTCACATATCATGTGCCCATCGTCGTGTTGCTCGGCCTCTGTCCCTCTTTCCTGGTACCATGCCTTCTACTGTTACTTTGTCCAATCTCATATGCGCTTTATGTGACCAAAATATTTCATTTCAGCTTCCGAGACAGGGTGCTGTTTATCAATCAGTCTTTCTTGATGTTCAGACTAGTTACGTTGAGTAAAGTTTGGACTAGTCTACACAGGCATGAATTTAACACAATGTGCCTTTTGAATAATTTTCGTAAAAAGTGTATAGAACACATTATATACATTTTTGTTTGTCAAAATATACTTCAGCTTATCCACTCTATTCCGTCTAAAATACGTTAATATAAATTAAAATAAATTCGCGCTGATTGTTTGCATTCAGTGAGGGCATTTGGACACGCCCCTGACACGAAGAACACTTCGAATGATTTTACAAAAGAGAAGAAAGTCAACAGCACGCGAGCACATTACCTGGAAGCCGGCTTAAAAACCTGCGCGTGCTTTCGCGAGTGGGTGCGCCGATGAGTCTATCTATGTGTGAGTATTTTCAGACTGTTGCCAGAGTCGAAGTTTGAGGGGGGAATAGCGTGATGAACACTGAAGAAAGCAACGACCAAGACGACACTCAATAGGACACAAGATGCCGGGCTCACGTCTCAATGTCCACCTAACACGTCATTCCCCAGAGGTGCCATGGGGATTTCGACTTCAAGGAGGCAGGGATCTGAACCAAGCTCTCACCGTTCAGAGGGTGAGTCTGTTATAGCATACTTTCCATTATTTACACCGCCTGCATGTGAGGCTTTACCTTTTATAGGGACGAGTATTCCAGCAGGTATCGAGCCTGTTGTCGAGTGAGATAAACTTCACGAGTTGCAAGGGCATACCTTCTGACGTAAAACAAGTGTGTGCACATCAAAGTGCGTGTGTTTATGTGCGCCAAGATATACACACAGCTACCCTCTCCCTCCACCCCTTTCCTCATTTTCTTGCTAATGTTTTGGCTCTGGTAATATTTTTTTTTCTTCACAGGACACCTTCTCCGAGTTATATTCCGATTACAAAGGTGAACGTCTCACAATTTCGTTTAGGTTTAGATCCTTACTGTACCTTAGTTTTCGGATTTGTACTCTTGTTATTATTCAAACAGTCTTGAAAATAATTTTACTCAGGTAGGGATGGTAACATTGCATCCGCGATTGTTGCTTTTGGATTGTGAGCTTGCCCCCATTGTCCTCCTCCCTGTTAGTCAGTAGAGCAGCTCGGCATCATGTTGCTGTACATTGTTTCCTAGACTAGTACCTGCCTAATTCTTTTTAGTCAGAAGCAGTTTTTACTGTAACTCTTTCTATCCCAATGAAAGGAATCTAAATGAATATATATTTAAGTCTAAAAGAGTTTAGCAGGGGTGTTATTCAACTGATAATTAAGGGTTAATAAATCATCTTCCTTTAAAATAATAACATCAATAGCAGTATTACCTTTGCAATTTAGAAATCCATAAAAAGTTGATAAATTATGAAAGAATTACTTCTCCGCTGCCGTCTTGTTATTTCTTCGTGTCACTGAAAATATTCCACATAAACATCCAAAGTGATGAAGAAGATAATAATGAACTGCCACAACGTTGATTACAAAAAATAAATTGGTATGACTTAAAGCTCTTCAGAGGGAAAGAAAAACACGCACACAACCAGTGATTTTTTATTAGTTTATGATTTTATTTTAATTGTTGAAAAAGACTTGGTCCAGCTTTCAGTTATATTTGTACGCGTCTCTTCCTTCCACTCATTTAGATTTCGTAGTCATAATCTACGTTGTGTTAATTTACTATTTAAATAAAGGAGGGATTTTGGATCCTATCAAACACTGAATGATAATTGGACGCTATATGCCCAGAAAACCCCAAGATGCACAAAGGTTTCTTTACTTGGGTACTTTACATGAACAACGAGTTAACCGTAAATAAAAATGGAAAATAAACAATAAGTCGTTTTCTTCTTCTAAGCGTTTACTGTCCGTAAACTCCAGCGGGAAGTTCTGCTTTTTCGTTCACGTCTTGGTCCAGAGATTGAGTTGTGCGTGCATATTTATTTTACTGATCTAGTTCACTTGTGTGCATACTGTTGGTTCCTCAAGCCTCAGTAAGATACGCTCCGACTTTGAAGGAAATACACCTAATAAATAGACTGTTACGTCATGTTTGTTTGTTGGCATTGAGTCTTGTTAACACCAAAATAGGGCCCTGGAACTCACAAGGAGAAAAGGGGCAATAAATTAAAGATGTATAGAGGTACATTATCTTCATTTATGGTGGTTGACATATGGCGTTAACTAGCAATCCACCATAATCTTTGATTAGTTAAAAAGAAGATTACAACAAGATTGGAAATATCACTATTAACGATTCAGTGGGAACTAGCTAATAAAATCTGCCAGTTTTGTCAACTGGTTGTGATTTTTGTTTCTGCTTGTGAAAAAATACCTTGTGAAACACTAAATCTTTCTTTGTTTGATAAAGAAAATGTATAGTGTTATAAAGTCGTCCTCATGAGGGATTCAATTTTTCGTTATTCGAATCCCCACGCTGGCTTTTACCGGGGGCCCTGAATATAGCCGGGCCTTAGGCTAACGGTTAAAAAGGGTTTCAGGTACCTCTCCACGGGTGATCCTCATCCGCATGGTGGCACTTTGTGTCACCAGGTGTTTATCGCATGTGTGATGTCCTGGTGGGGTACAACTATATATAAATCCCCCATATATATATACATACATACAATTTGACCCACATAAGAATAGTCTTTTAGTCATTCCACTTATAATTTTTATTTCCTTGTTTGTTTCGTGCCAATCAATATAAATTTGTTCTTTAACTATTAATAAATTTAGAGATAAACGAAGCAGATAAGACGTCACTTGAAATGTGACTGAGAGTAAAACTCTTGTATTAATGGGTAACCATGTAGTTAATATAATAAAGCGATGCTGAAAATGTTCCAGCAATCAGTACATTTTCACAAACCGGACAGGTTTTATTTCTCCTGCTGTCCGAGAGATTCCACTCTAGCCGCATGTACAACCATATGGTGTGTTATTTTGCATGCTTCCTGCTTGTTTTTGTTTCTTGTTTATCAAAGACATCAGTTGCCATCTATGATATCTAACCTTTCAGCTTGGTTGTTTTCCTTTCACCTTGCTATCTAGCTATCTTTTTCTGATAATATTTATGTATAATTCTCACATATATCAGTTCTGTCAACAGCTCATGGTGTTTTCTACCACAATAATAGTTCTTCCATGGGAATACGGCTCGCAGTTTATATGGTATAACTAGAAATAGCGTTATATCTTTTAGAAGCAGAAGATTTCTAATACTATTCAAACACAGTTAATTACAATAATAGAAGAAAGGCACCAGGGTTTGACTTTTGAAAATAAAGCATAAAAATATTAAAATTTAAAATAAAGTATGATTTTTTTTTTTAAATTAAACTAGCCAGATTTCTTTAGACAGCTCAAACCAAACGTAAAAGATTTACAGTAAAACCTTGTTAACTCGAAATCACAGGAACCTAAAAAGAAACAAAAAAGAGTTCTTGATAAAAATGTGTGCTATCCGGAGATTAATCATCATCATCAAGTGCCTTGCCAGCTGGTGTAGGCGTTTATGCATCTCCACAGATCTTGGTCCATGGTGTTCTGGGTCAATTCCACTGATGATATTCCCCCATGCCGTTGTCTTAAGCCATCCACCATCATTTCTCTTGGTCTTCCTCTGCCTCTTCTACCAGGGATTTTTCCAGTCATCACGATATTTTCCAGTGCTCATTTTCTCAGCAAATGACCAAAGAACTTTGTTTGTCTCCTCTCATTGTGATATTCTACTTTAATTAACCATTTCCAGGCATTCAGTGTTGTTTATTCTGGCAGTCCAAGGTATTCTCAAAATTTTCTCAAAAACTACATCTCAGTTACCTTCAAACTCTTCCTAATTTGTTTGCTCACATTCTAATATTACCAAACAACATTATAGGCTTGATTAACATTTCAGTACTCGTTTTTTGATGTTTAATGAGAGTGATTTATTACATAAGCTACTTTTCATCTTCTGAAATGCTGCCTTTGATCGGCCAATTCTGCTCTTAATTTATATCAAACATCGTCCATTTGATGGTATGATTGTCCCGATTTACTTGAAATTATTGGCTTGGTTAAGAACTTGCTCTTATAATGCTATGACCTATTTTAGAATTATCTTTTTTTTTTTTTTTTTGGATATAACTATTTTTTTTTTTCTTGACATTCAAGGAAAGTCCCTTTTTTGCACTCTCAATTACCACAATGTTTAATAGTTGTTGTAGATAGTCTGCGTTTTCAGCTATTAATACTGTATCATCTGCAAAACGAAGGTTATAACCTCCAACTAGTATTCCTAGTCTATCCTCTAACTCTCTCATAATTATTTCACTACAGAGAGAGAAGAGATTCGGTGACAAAACACATCCATGTCTCACTCATTGCTTCATCTGTTAATAATTGCTTATTTTATTTCTCAATATAATTGCTTCTTCTTGCTTCCAGTGAATATTTGTTTGTTTTCTAAGGTCGTTTTCATCAAGGTTAATATCCTTTATCATGTCATCATGTTTCACTTTATCAAAAGCTTTGGTGTAATCTATGAAGCATATATATATATATATGTCTTTCTGTTTCTCCACTGATCACTGTAATTATGTTCGCAGTGTGTATACTGCGTTGTTTGTATCTTTCCCTTCTACAAAACCATCCTGCTCTTCACTAATTCTTATTTTATTTCGTGTTCTTCTCTTATAATTCTGAGCAACAGTTTAGTGTCATGGTTTGTGAGGTTGATTGTACGAAATTCGTCACATTTAATTGCCCCAAGTTATTTAGGTAGTTCTATAAATACAGACTTGTAACATATCATTAGGTATGGCTCAACTATTGTAAAAAAACATACCCCCAGTAGAATGCCAGAAACCTGGTCAGTCTGTTTTTATCAAGCAAATCAGCTGTCATCTAGGATATGTAACCTTTGAGCTTCCTTTTACCTTTCCTTCTAGTTAATCTTTTTTTTTTTTTAATAATATTTATGTATAATTCTGAGACATATCAGTTCTTTCAAAAGCTCGAGGTATTTTCTACCACAATGATAGTGCTAGCACCTTGTTCCCCCTCGTGGGATGCAATTTATTGTTCTTTGAAGCTCTACCCTGGCTTTTGCCAGGGGCCGTAATATAACCTAGCGGTGAAACGCGGTTTCCAGGATTTTTTCACGGGTGATCCTCATCCACATGGTGGCACTTTGTGTCACCGGGTGTTTATTGTTCTGTATGATGTCCTGGTGGGTTAAAATTTACCACTACTATTACTCCTTACTTGGAAACTGGGTGATTAAATTATATGGTATAACTAGAAAGAAACAGCATTACACCTGTTAGAACCAGCGAATTTCTCAACATAGTCCTAACACAAACAATAACACACACAAAAAACAGAGGAAAGGCTCCAGGGTTTAACTTTCAGAAAAGCATGTACTATGTAGCATGATTTCGTGTGTTTGTGTGTGTTAAACTAGCCAGATTTCTGTAGACTGCTTAAACCGAACGTTAAAAAATATACAATAAAATCTGTTAAGACGAAATCATAGGGATCGAAACAAAAGTCTTTGTTATAAGTTCGCACTAACCAGGGATCAATACATATAATAATACATGTACATCTCTGCTG